TTGCACTCATCGTCTCCCATCCTCACAATCGTGCAGCGAGGAACTCTCTGTTTTCTCATCCAGACAGTTCACCTGCCTCAGAGCACCTGACTGGTAGTGACAGAGCTGGAAAATGAACCCAGGGACTCTGACTTTCAGCTCTTCTCTCCATCTAAGCTGAGTCTCATGAGCTGGAGGGAAGGAGCCTGAGTGCCCTGCCATGGCCCTGGGTCCCACCCTTGCACGTGTCACCACCACTGTGGGACAGACCCACTACAGAATCAGGTTCTGGAAGCCTCCTTTATTAGTATAGGTGCCATTCAAGGACAGAACTGAAAAAAAAATTACACATGTGGGGCAGGCCTCTCCCCTTTATATTCAAAGAAACAGCAGCCAGCATAGAATGGGAAGGACTTGTCCAAGTTAACAGTTAACATCTCAACAAATACATGTGTCAAGCCCATAAAAAGCTATTCCCCATCAAGACCCCACCTCCCAACAGAGTGCTTATTTGCCCTCTGGGGCCAGATTCATGCAGGTGAGAGGTTTGTTGTCAAGGTCTTAGAGGCAGGATGTGGAGGTGACTGTTTGGGAATCCCTTCTCTCCACCTCACGCACATGTCCCATCCACCAGACTGAGTCAGAGCATCTATCTCTCAACACCGCATTCTGCACATTCTGTACCTCAACCTCTAAGTCTTGGTTGTCTAGGGTCTGCATTGGGATCTGTTTGCCTCCTTCCCTAACAAGCTGAAGTGACAGAGAAAAGAGGACATCAGTGGAGTAACAGCTGTGAGGCAGCCTGGGCTTGGAGTGTACTCCCTGTATTGACTTGCCTGATACTCACCATCTGTTTTCAGGGGCCTTGAGGGTGGTGGGGTTGAGACTCCAATGGAACCTAGGAAACAGAACAGTGGAAAGTCCTTTTCTGAATGTGTTACTTCTAATGGTTAATAAAGAAGCTGCTTTCAGCCAATAGCTTAACAGAATATAGCCAGACTGGCAGAGATATATTTAGAGAGAGTAGGCAGATAAAGAGAGAAACCACGTAGCCTCTGCCAGAGACAGATGCCTTGACTGGAGCCCACTGAAACTTTGCCAATAGACAATGACCTCGTGATGAAGCACAGATTAATGGGGGTGGATTAGTTTAGGAATAAGAGCTAGCTAAAAATACGTTTAAGCTATTGGCCAAAGAGTATTGCAAATAACAAAATTACTGTGTGATTATTTTGGGTCTAAGTAAACGGGAACAAATGAGTGGTCTCCCCCAACAGAGGAGGGTGAGGATTAGATGTTAACCCAGGGAGCCTGACTCTGCTTACTGTCCTCCACTTGTCCTGTAACCTCCATAATATCCTCATGCTGTTTACTCAAAACCTAGATTGCCATAGAGAATAGATTGGATATTACTTGAAGGACTGCTGCTGGCATCCACTTCTCTGGCAGGGATAGTGCCTTCTGATTAACTTTTTCTATTCTCCCCTTGATCTCACACAAGTCAAGGTCACTCTTACAGTTTGGATCATAGGTCACCACGACAGTTCAGGGTCACTTCACCTGAGACACTGAGCTCCACAGGGGCACTGGCATATGACAACAGGTAGAGAGATGAGTAATGAGAACCATAGCACCTGTATGTGCCTGAGAGGTCAGAGGTCACAGCACTCATGGAGAATTCTGCCTGGAACTCAGAAACATGGAGCTTTGGTTTTAGTCTCTGGGGTTGGTGCGCTGCTCCCTCCTTGGACAGAATGAAGGTGTCCACTGCATCAGCTGTCTTACACAACAGGGTCACATTGTCTCCAGAGTGTACCGTGGAGTTAGGCTTCACTGAGAGGGAAGGACGGACCTCAAACTGTCCTAAAGAAGAGAGATGATAGGAGGCTCTGAATTGGCACATAACCTGACTCTTCCATGAACACCTAGGACTCTGTTTCTTTTTTTCTTTTTTTTTTTTTTTTGCCTGAGCCTCTTTCCTGCTCCCCTGTCTCTGCATTTGTTCTCAAATAAGACCCCTGTCCCTCATCTCAGCCATAACCTCTTTAATTCCCCCAAAGAGAGCCCTAATAGACGTTAGGTACCTGATGGAATCTATTTAGTTCCTCACCTGTGATCAGGATGTCCAGGGGGTCACTGGAGGCTGACCACTCAGAGGAGAGGTTGTGTGCACCATAGCATCTGTACTGGCCTCCAGTAAAGCTGCTCACAGAGCCCAGTGTGAAGTTGACCAAGGAGAGACAAGCCTGGGCCCTATGGCCATAGTGTTGGGGGAAGTCAGTTCTGCCCACCTTGTACAAAGCAAATTTGTCATAGCTGATGTCAGAGCAACACTGCAGGGTAAAGTTCATCCCAGGGTCCAAAATATGGCCTTGGTGAGTCAGCAAGGATGGATTCTTAGATAGGCCTAGAGAGAGGGTGATAAGCTAGTGATTGAGGGATGTTTGTTACCAAACACTTATGTCCTCCCATCCTGCCCTGCACACGTGACTGCTTCTCTGGAGAAGTGGGTTCTGGTTCATCAACCAGGTTCTTCCCTTTTCACTCTTTATCTGCAGCTACACAGTGGGAAACTTAAGCAAAAGGCATTGGGTGTCAGAAATGATTGGTCAATGATGGGAGTGACTCACCAGAGATGTGTATTTCCAGGGGGTCACTGGGTACTGACCACAGCTGTGGAGTCTGCTTGTAGTAACCATAGCATCTGAATGTTCCTGTGAGGTTTGGTGTTACATGATCTATAGAGAATAAGGCTTGGTACTGCCTAGTACTGTGTATATACTGTGAGTCCACGGAGCTGAGGAACTTCTGATCTTCCTTGGTGAGAATGAACTTGTCATATCTCTCCCCTGAGACACACTGGAAAGTCATGTTCCCTCCTGAGATCACCACATGGCTGGGCAGGGCTGACAGCCTGGGTTTACTGTTGTGGATTCCTAGGACAGAAGACCGCAAACTGATACATGTGCTCACACAGCCACTGTGTTCTTCAGGGCTAGGCTGAGGGAGGGGAATATTCCTGAGAGCAGAGCCTGGGGCTGAGACCCTGCCTGTCCCCTCACCTGTCACCACCAGTTCCAGGGTGTCACTGCGCTCTGTCCAGCCAGCTGAGCTGTAACAGTAACAGTGATACTGCCCTGCATGTAAATGTGTCACAGAGGGGATGGAGAACTTGGTTTTGTTCTCAGGCTTCTCTGGGGTTTGCATGTCCAAGGGTTTCTGACTTCCCTCTTTTTGCAGAACATAGATTTCTGCATCCAGGTTCCCCTGACACAAGATGGTCATGAGTATTCCCGAGGCTACAATGGATCCTGGTTCAGCCTTGATGGTGGGTTTGTGGAACGTCCCTGCAAGGAAGTAGGAGAGAAAAAGTTGTTCCTGTCTGGAAGTGGCACAGAGAAAGTCTCACTTTGCAGATGGCACTTGTTTTCTTTTAAATTTATTCTTATGTCATACAATACATCTTGATAGAAGCCTCCCCATATCCCATACCCCACCCCACCCCCAGATCCACTGCTCTTCTTTTTCTCTTTAGAGAAGAGCAGGCTTGCCAACGATATTAACCAAATATGGAATAACAACTTAAAATAGCTAGGCACACACCCTCATATTAAGCCTGACCAAGGCAACCCGTAGGAGAAAAAAAAACCCAATGCATGAAAAAAAAGTCAGAGACTTCCCAACTCCAACTATTATGGGTCTAACAAAAACCCTAAGCTAGCCAGGCAGTAGTGGTGCAGGCCTTTATTCCCAGCACTAGGAGGTAGACACAGGCCCATCTTCGTGAGGTCAAGGCCAACCTGGTATACAGAGTGAGGTTTTGGACACACAGAACTACATAGCAAACCTCTAAAAGACAAAACAAAACAAAAAACCCAAGGTAAACAACCACAACATGTGTGCAGAGGGTCTAGAGCAGACCAATGCAGCCTCTGAGTTTGTTGCCTCAGTCTTTGTGAGCCCATGATTCCTTTAGTTGATTCTGTGGTTCATGTTCTTCTGGTGTCCTGAGTACTTCAGCTCTAACCATCCTTCCTCTTGGTCTTCTTAGATTTTCCAGAACACATATGGATGCTACTTGAACTAATCCAGAATAACAGAAGGCTCCACGAAGATTCATTTCTGGCCTGTACCTCCTGCTACTCTCTGCCTTGGACTTAGTGTCTTGTACCCCACTGTCTCATGTGCTTTGTGTCAACAGACTCAGGAACCCTGGTTCCTCACACACACCACGCACCAAGTCCTCTCTGAACACCTGTATAATTTCAATATCATTAAATGGAAAGCTGGGGTTCCTCACCTGAGACCAGGAGCTCCAGGGGTTCACTAGGTTCTGACCACACCTGTGGGCTGTAACTGTGATAACTGTAGCACATGAATATCCATCTTTGACTGGAGGTCACAGGACCCACAGAGAATTGAGCCTGGAACTGTCTAGTAGAGTAATTATATTGTGAGTATTTAGTAAAGGACTGTTTCTGTGATCCTTTGTTAGTCAGAAGTAACCTGTGATATTGCTGACTTGAGGCACACTGGAGGGTGACATTCCCTCCTTCAGTCACCACAGGACTGGGCAGGGCTGACAGGCTGGGTTTACTGTAAACACCTAGGAGGGAAGAAAGGATCAGTTAAATTTCTTCAATAGCTCGTTATCTTCTATGGTGTGAGGGAGCATTCCTGTGAACAGACTCACTACTTGACAGTCAAGCCTGAGACTGGGAACCCCGTGTGTCCTCTCACCGGTCACCACAAGCTCCACAGAGTCACTGTACTCAGACTGTTCATCAGAGGTCCAATAGCGACAGCGATATCGCCCTGCATGTTGTCGGTGAACTTTTGAGATTGAGAATTCAGCCTGGTTCTTAGGGTTCTGTGGAATCTCTGTGAACTGTAGACGCTGGTCTTTATAGAGACTGTACTCTTCAGCTCTCGCAGTCCCATTACACAAGAAGGTCACTGTAGTCTGCTCAGAGACCACCGAGTCTGGCTGTACTCTGAGGATAGGTTTAGGGAGGGATCCTGTGTGGAAATGAGCAGCTAGGACCAAAAACAGCCATCCTCAGATTGCGGGATCCAACTCCAACCACCCAGCCGCCCCCGGTTTAGCACATATCTGTTGTTTTCCAGCCTCCCTGCCCAGGCATGGCTTCTGGGAATGATGGGAAATGCAGGTCAGGACATCTGTAGACTCTCACCTGCCAGCACTGGGGTCCAGAGGCCCAGAGTAAGTCCTGGAAGAGAGTTCCCTGTGAGAGGTTTGCCCCTGAAGCTTGAGCAAGTCCTCCCCTCTGCAGGACCTCCTAAGATTTTGTTGTTTCCTAAAGGGCCAGGGCAGGGAAGTGGGGCTGCATCAATTCCAGACCAGAGTATCCCCTCCCCATCTCCACCTCTCACCCACACAGAGCAGGGCTGTGAACGTGAAGTCCATGGCATCTCCTCCTGGACGCTGCAACTGTGTTCATGGGCAGAGGTACAGACACTGCCTGGAGAGACAGGAAACACAGGGTGTGGCCTGTGGAGGCAGGCACTCAACATGACATGGTTGCACTGGTGCAGCCCCACAGGAAGAGGAACTTCCCTCTTCAAGCACCAGGCTCTGACTTTCCCAAGGCTGTGACTAGGTCAGGTAGTAACTCTGCAATCAGTTCTTTTATGGATGACGTTTCAACAATCCTGTCAGTGTCTGTTTCATCTGTCCTCATCTTTGCCAGTTCCACATGGCACTGAAAAATTATCAGACATATATGAATACTACATACAAGATATACAAATTTACATGTGGGTTTACATTATTACTTTTCACCTTTTTAAGTGAAATACTTTTTCATGTTTGAAGGTTTCTGTGAAGGGTCTTGCAGTGTTTATCTGCATGGAATAAAATTTACAATCCCCTTCCTCATAGTCTCAAGTGTTGGGTTCCAAAAGTGCATCCCTATTTGGATGTTCTTTAATGATGTGTGTACTTTTTAAATTTTAAATTATACTTATTTTTTACACTCATTTTTTAAAATTACACATAATTATTAATAATATGTTACACTTACTTTTTCTTCATTGGGGTATATTTACATGTGCCACAGTACTGCTTGGAGGTCAGAGGACAGCTACAGAAAGAAGCAGTTATCTCCTTGTGCAATGTGGATCCGGGTCAGGATTGAAGGTTGGCAGCAGCACTTATACACTGATCCTTGTCAGTAGCTCAGTCTTAGCATCATCACTTTCCTGTGTCCTTCTGCTCAGGCAAAAAATAAAAAAGGTGCTGGGTTTGGGTGTCCTGGGACAACCAAGGTCCAAGCATTGTTTGATTATTTTGGTCTACAGGTTGTTGGTTTGGAGGCGTTCGCCTGCACATGGGTTCAAGTGTGGGCAGACCTTGTAGGCAGTAGTGATGTGGGACTCCCCTCTGTGTACTGTGATTAACATTAATGATTAAGAAACTGCCTTGGCCTTTTGTTACGGCAGAACTTAGGTAGGTGGAGGGACTGGAGTGAATGTTGTGAGATAGAAAGGCAAGGTCATGGGATGCCAAGGATCTGCCACTGGAGAGGACATGCTGGAACTTTGCTGGTAGGCCATGACCTTGTGGTGATATAGATTAATAAAAATAGGTGAAATTAAGAGGTAAGAGTTAGCCAATAAGAAGCTAGAGCTAATGGGACAAGCAGTGATTTGATTAATACAATTTCTGTGTGATTGTTTCAGTTCTGGACGGCCTGGAAGAACAAGAAGCTCCTCCTTCTACAGACCAGTGCATGGTCTTGTCATTGTTTTACTTCTACAGAAACTGGCAAAGGGGTGTCTTTTTTATCACACATGTACAGAACTAGGAACAGGGTGGGAATCTTTCTCGACTTTGATGTTGGTCAGGGTGCAGCCACTCTTTATCTGCTGGCCGCAAATCCCAACCACCAATCATCAGGAGTGATCTTGGTTCTCAGTCTTGACGCTGTTCATGGAGTCACAGGGTTGGACCTCAAGAGTCATAGTCTTGCCTTTCAATGGCTTGCCAACATTCCAGAGACCTCCATCTTGGTGTCTGTTCCACCACCTAGTAGAAAAAGAGAGTTCAATAAACATAGTTTATTTCCCTTCACTTTTAGTGCTAGGAACAGATGGTGGGGCCTCAAGTATTCTACTTCTCCTGAGCCATACTCCACCCTTGAGCCACAGCCACTTTCTCTTGCAATCAATTTCTGATCTTACTCCAAATTTATTTCACATGCTAAATTTTTCTTATGCTTATGTTAATTTTTACTGATAATTACTGATGTTGATTAGAAACAGGCTCTCTCAGTGGAGCCATGGCTGTCCTGGAGCTGGTTATGTAGGATAGGCTGGCCTGAAACTCACAGAAATTCTACTACCTCTGCTTCCCGTTTAGATTAAAGATGTGGGCCACCACAAGTGGCCATGGGTTTAGTTTTTCACTTGTTTTAAAATGTCATATCAGTATGCATTTTGTCTTGGATGAGTCCACATTCTACCCTTCCCCTTCCTCCTTACCCTCTCTTATTGGATGCATCATCACTGACTTGTTTGCTTCTATTCCTTCTGGGTCTTGCTAATTGTTGAAAATCCACATCCCTCTCTTAAACACCCAACTTTCTGTTCTCTTCCTCCCATGCAGTTCAATTTGTGCTTCTCTTAATCTTGGGCATAGTTCCAGGGGCCACACCATTAAAGATAACCGGCCTTCCCTCTCCCAGTAGGCATCAATGCCAATAGCTCTTCATCTGTGGATGGGACTTTGTGCCCATCTCCCATCCACATACTGGATTTGTTGTGCATTGAACTTACATTGGGCTTGTAGATATCCTTACAATCACTCTGAACTCAGATGTTTCTTTATTCTTCAGTGTCTAGAAAAATGTTTATTGACATTATCCACCACATCTGAATCTTACAATTTTTCCACATTCTCTTCAGTAATGATTCCATGTCAGGAAGTGTCACATGGGGACAATTCTCTTACTTATCATCACCTCAAAGATTTTGTCCAGGCACACACAAGTCCTGTTTGTCACAAGGAGAATGAGATAAAGGTCATTGAGTATTTCCCCCTTTTTAGTTACAGAGCCTAAAAGACACCCTTAATTTCCTCTTTACATAAATGTTAATATGAATAATTACCATCTTGTAAGTCTGTCTATGTATGTCCTTTGTTAAATCAGAAAAAAATGCTCAGTTCATAGAGTCCTTGTGTGACAATCTTAGATGTCTGGGTTTAATCCCCAGTACTGCATACATTTGATGTTGTGACTCAAGTCTTGGGCTTCAGCATTCAGGAGGTAGAGGTAATAGTTTTGGGATTTTCAGGAAATTTTTATTATGCAATGAGTTTTGGGTCAGCCTGAACTATATCAGGCAATATCTCATAAAAGGAAAGAAAATTTCTTTTGGAGTATGTGGTGAACATGATCAAATATTTTTATGCATGTAATAATCTTCAATAAATAATGAAAATATTTTTACTGTAAATCTCCCACATTAGGTGTATGTACCAAGTATTTCATCTCAGTCATTTCTAAGGGGATGTTTCCATTTCAGCCCCTGCTTCTTTTCACCCATGTGAGTTCTCAGGCCAAGCATGTCATACAGCTATACTGTCTCCTTCCTATTGAATTCTTTGGCAGCTGTTGTTCCTGAATGATCAAGTGATGGATCATGCCAGTTGAACCAGTTGGGGTTTTGCTGAGTTCTGTGAGCTCATTCACACCTCCCTCTCACAGGCCTCATTGACAGTGAGAAGAGGTGCTGCCCTCTGCTGGATGTGTACAGAATTCCTTCAGAGTATTGCAGCTGGCTTGTATACCCAAGTGTTAACCCTTTGGCTTTAATCTACTTTTTGACATAGTTACCTTTTGTGTTCACTAAGCTCTACTTGAAGTGTGTAAATTTTATCTGAGTTCTTCCTGAAAGGTTCAAACCAATGCAAAACAATGCAGAAATCAGAAAATAGAGGCATCTTGGTACAAGAATGCTTTGGCGATTGTCTCTTTTGGGGAGATTCGGATAAGATGTTTTGGTAGGTGGAAGTTAACTTGTTAAAGTGTACACAGTTTAAAAATTTAAAAAAATAAAAATTTTAAAAAATAAAAATATTTTTTTCTTTTTTGTTTTTTGAGACAAGGTTTCTTTGTAGCTTTGGAGCCTGTCCTAGGCCTAGCTCCTATAGACCAGGCTGGCCTTGAACACACAGATCTGCCTATCTCTGCCTCCTAAGTGCTGGGACGGAGTAAAGGCATGTGCCACCACCGCCCAGCCAAAATGAAAAAACTTTTATGAAACAAAAGCTAGTCAGTTCACCAGAAGCAGATTCCTCTTCCACAGCAAAAGTCAAAATTCATCCTAGTGTGACCCGGGTTTTTCTAAGGAATAGGGGAAAACTGAACAGGACTGACATAGTTGGATGAGCTACATATGATGACCTTGCCTCAGATGACTGACAGACACACATAGCATCTCTTCAGTCCTCTCTACACTGATGGGTTAGATGTAGAATTCTACCAAAAGCATCACATTTGCTGGTGGATATAAACTCCCAAGGATGTAGGGTCATGGTTCTTCTCCAACCGTGCCCCCTGGCTTCTATACATAGCATCCCACACGCACTACAATTACTGACCACATTACAATTACTGGACTCTTCTGGGTTAGTTCTTTAAACCTACGTTTCCTTCAGAGTTTGCCCAGCGGAGGATGGCTCCTGTTGCTATTCACAAACAACTCATGGCAGCATGTAGAAGAATCTCTGCCTTGAATCATCCTCAGTGATGGGCAGAAACTCAGAGGAAGGATCTTGAGTACAGGTTCTGTGTTTGTATGACTCCTGCTTCAACCATACCATATCTAGTATTTTGCTGTTTGTGGCAGTGAGTAATTTTCTATCTTTACAAGTAGGTGCAGATCTTGGTTATTGACTTTTGATCCAATTCTGTTTCTTCTTCAATTACATATCCAATCATTTATTCCCTGTGAATGAAACATATATATCCATACACTACCACATATGTACACACACATACACAAGTTTGTAGATTTGTATGTTTAATTGAACCTTGAATTCTAGAGTAAGTTCATGCTGATCATGTCTATCATTCCATCCATATGCAAAGATGTGTTCCCACTAATCCTTTGTTCGGGATGTTTAGTCTTTCCCTAGACAGGAAGAGATTTTCCATGCATCTTCATGATTGAATGAGTAGGGTCCTGGCCTCTCCTAAGGAGACCATGAGGCCAGGTTCTGGCTGCCCCAAGCATCAAAGACCAGAATCCCAAGGACTATTAGGACCATAACAGCAAACCCCATCCTGATGAGATTCTCCACTGTGTGATCTTGTTTCTTTGAGGCTGTGTTGTGGACAAAGAAGTTACAGAGTTTAGTGATGGTCAAAATTTCTTCAAGAAAACTAGATGATCCCAAGATACCTAAATGTCCCCAAGATTACTGAATGTCCTACATTTCCTTGACAAAACTTGGTCCCTATACTCTCAGTCATTTGAGTTTGAATTCTCTTTATTCAACTGTCTTGGGTTTGGGCATGTTCTTGGATGGGCTAATAATTTTCAATGATCGTCAACAGAAGAAGAGTATGATATAGGCATATGATGTGAGGGTTCTTTCTTTATCCTTCTTTCTCATTTAATGTAAATACCCATATCATTCTCATTCTATAAACTAATGAAGTTCTAGAATGTATCTTTTTTCCTTGTCACAGCTGGGTTCCCTGTCTTTTTCTTATTATTTCCTTCAGCAACACTGTGGAACACCAGTGAAAACAAAAAAAATTCAGAATAGAATAAATTATCCTTACAATACAGACATGGTTCCTGAGTCACTAAACTGAGTCAGAACATCTGTCTCTCAACACCACATTCTGTACCTCAACCTCTAAGTCTTGGGTGTCTATGGTCTCTATTGGAATCTGCTTGCCTCCTTCCCTCACAGGCTGAAGTGACAGAGAAAAGAGGACATCAGTGGAGTAAGAGCAGTGAGGCAGCCTGGGGATGGAGCATACTCCCTGAAGTGACATGCCTGATACTCACCATCTGTTGTCATTGGCCTTGAGGGTGGTCGGGTCGAAGCTCCAATGGTTCCTAGGAAACAGAACAGAGGAGTCGTGTAGAAAGTCCTTCTGTATATGTGTTGCTTTTATTGGTTAATAAATAAGCTGCTTTCCTCCAAGGGCTTAACAGAATATAGGCAGACTGGAAGAGATATATTTAGAGAGAGTAGGCAGAGCAAGAGAGAAGCCACGTAGCCTCCACCAGCGACAGATGCCTCGAATGGAGCCTGCCAAAACTTTGACAATATTCCACAACCTCATTGTGATGCATGGATTAAAGGGGGTGGATTAATTTAGGATATAAGAGCTAGCTAAAAATATGTTTAAGTTATTGACCAAAGAGTTTTGCAAATAACAAAATTGCTGTGTTATTATTTTGGGTCTAAGTAGCTGGAAACAAGCAAGTGGTCTCCCCCAACATTGTTGTGTGTACCATAGCATCTGTGCTGGCCTACAGAAGGCTTGCTCATAGAGCCTGGTGTGAAGTGGGCCCTATGGCATAGTGTTGGGTGAAATCAGTTACCCCATCTTGTTCATAATAAATCTGTCATAGCTGATGTCAGAGCAACACTGCAGGGTAAAGCTCTTTCCAGGGTCCAGAATATGGCCTTGGTGATCAGCAAGGATGGCTTCTTGGATAGGCCTAGAGGGAAGGTGATAGCCTAGTGATTGAGGAGATGGTTGTTACCAAACACTTGTCTCCTCCCATGCAAAAGTGACTGCTTAGCCAAGGACTGGGAATCTGGTTCATCAACCAGGTTCTTCCTTTTCACTTTTTTTTGCAGCTACATAGTGGGACACTTCCTTGGCAAAAGACATAGGGTATCAAATATGATTTGGTCAATGATGGAAGTGACTCACCAGAGATGTGTATTTCCAGGGGGTCACTGGGTACTGACCACAGCTGTGGGGTCTGCTTGTAGTAACCATAGCATCTGAATGTTCCTTTGTGGTCTGTTGTTGCATGATCTGTAGATAACAAGACTTGGTACTGCATTTTACTGTGTATATACTGTGAGTCCACAGAGCTGAGGAACTTCTGATCTTCCTTGGTGAGAATGAACTTGTCATATCTCTCCTCTGAGATACACTGAAAAGTCATGTTTTCTCCTAAGGTCAACAAACGGCTGGGCAGGGCTGACAGCCTGGGTTTACTGTTGTGGATTCCTAGGACAAAAGAAAGCAAACTGATACATGTGCTCACACAGCCACTGTGTTCTTAAGGGCTAGTCTGTGGGAGGGAAATACTCCTGAGAGCAGAGCCTGGGGCTGAGACCCTGCCTGTCCCCTCACCTGTCACCACCAGCTCCAGGGTGTCACTGCGTTCTGACCAGCCAGCTGAGCTGTAACAGTAGCAGTGATATTGCCCTGCATGTAGACGTGTCACAGAGAAGATGGAGAACTTGGTTTTGTTCTCAGGCTTCTCTGGGGTTTGCATGTCCAAGGGTTTTTGACTTCCCTCTTTATGCACAACATAGATTTCTGCATCCAGGCTCCCCTGACACAAGATGGTCATGAGTATTCCTGAGGCTACAACGGATCCTGGCTCAGCCTTGATGGTGGGTTTGTGGAGGGTCCCTGCAAGGAAATAGGAGAGAAAAAGTTGTTCCTGTCTGGAAGTGGCACAGAGAAAGACCTACTTGCAGATGGCACTTGTTTTCTTTTAAATTTATTCTTATGTCATACAATACATCCCGATAGCAGCCTCCCGATATCTCCTCCCACTACCCAAGAACAGTGCCCTTCTGTTTCTCTTCAGAAAAGAGCAGACTTCCCAGTGATATTAGCCGAATATGGCATAAGAACATACAATAACTAGGCACACACTCACATATTAAAGCTGACCAAGGCAACCCAGTAGGAGAAAAAAGATGCCGCATGCATGAAAAAAGTCAGAGACTTCCTCCCTCCAACTTTTACGGTTCTAACAGAAACCCTAAGCTAAGCAGGCAGTAGTGGTGCAGGCCTTTATTTCCAACACTACGAGGTAGACACAGGCCCATCTCTGTGAGGTCAAGGCCAACCTGGTATACAGAGTAAGGTCCAGGACAGTCAGAAGTACACAGCGAACATAAAAACAATAAAATAAAATAAATAAATAAATAGATAGATAAACGAGTTAAACAATCACAGCATATGTGCAGAGGGTTTAGATCAGACCAATGCAGGCTCTGAGTTTGTTGCCTCAGTCTCTGTGAGCCCTTATGACTCCTGCTTAGTTGATTCTGTGGTTCATGTTCTTCTGGTGTCCTGAGTACTTCGGCTCCTACAAACCTTCCTCTCTGTCTTCTTTAGGTTTTCCTGAATTCTTGTGGATGCTATTTTATATGATCCAGAATAACAGAAGGCTCCACGAAGATTCATTTCTGGCCTGTACCTCCTGCTACTCTGCCTTGGACTCTATATCTTTTCTCCACTGTCTCATGTGCTTTGTGCCAATGGGCTCAGGAGCCCTGGCTCCTCACAGACACCACGCACCAAGTCCTCTCTGAAAACCTGTATAATTTCAATATCATTAAATGGAAAATCTGGGGTTCCTCACCTGAGACCAGGAGCTCCAGGGGTTCACTAGGTTCTGACCACACCTGTGGGCTGTAACTGTGATAGCTGTAGCACATGAATATCCATCTTTGACTGGAGGTCACAGGACCCACAGAGAATTGAGCCTGGAACTGTCTAGTAGAGTAATTATATTGTGAGTATTTAGTAAAGGACTGTTTCTGTGATCCTTTGTTAGTCAGAAGTAACCTGTGATATTGCTGATTTGAGGCACACTGGAGGGTGACATTCCCTCCTTCAGTCACCACAGGACTGGGCAGGGCTGACAGGCTGGGTTTACTGTAAACACCTAGGAGGGAAGAAAGGATCAGTTAAATTTCTTCAATAGCTCGTTATCTTCTATGGTGTGAGGGAGCATTCCTGTGAACAGACTCACTACTTGACAGTCAAGCCTGAGACTGGGAACCCCGTGTGTCCTCTCACCTGTCACCACAAGCTCCACAGAGTCACTGTACTCAGACTGTTCATCAGAGGTCCAATAGCGACAGCGATATCGCCCTGCATGTTGTCGGTGAACTTTTGAGATTGAGAATTCAGCCTGGTTCTTAGGGTTCTGTGGAATCTCTGTGAACTGTAGACGCTGGTCTTTATAGAGACTGTACTCTTCAGCTCTCGCAGTCCCATTACACAAGAAGGTCACTGTAGTCTGCTCAGAGACCACCGAGTCTGGCTGTACTCTGAGGATAGGTTTAGGGAGGGATCCTGTGTGGAAATGAGCAGCTAGGACCAAAAACAGCCATCCTCAGATTGCGGGATCCAACTCCAACCACCCAGCCGCCCCCGGTTTAGCACATATCTGTTGTTTTCCAGCCTCCCTGCCCAGGCATGGCTTCTGGGAATGATGGGAAATGCAGGTCAGGACATCTGTAGACTCTCACCTGCCAGCACTGGGGTCCAGAGGCCCAGAGTAAGTCCTGGAAGAGAGTTCCCTGTGAGAGGTTTGCCCCTGAAGCTTGAGCAAGTCCTCCCCTCTGCAGGACCTCCTAAGATTTTGTTGTTTCCTAAAGGGCCAGGGCAGGGAAGTGGGGCTGCATCAATTCCAGACCAGAGTATCCCCTCCCCATCTCCACCTCTCACCCACACAGAGCAGGGCTGTGAACGTGAAGTCCATGGCATCTCCTCCTGGACGCTGCAACTGTGTTCATGGGCAGAGGTACAGACACTGCCTGGAGAGACAGGAAACACAGGGTGTGGCCTGTGGAGGCAGGCACTCAACATGACATGGTTGCACTGGTGCAGCCCCACAGGAAGAGGAACTTCCCTCTTCAAGCACCAGGCTCTGACTTTCCCAAGGCTGTGACTAGGTCAGGTAGTAACTCTGCAATCAGTTCTTTTATGGATGACGTTTCAACAATCCTGTCAGTGTCTGTTTCATCTGTCCTCATCTTTGCCAGTTCCACATGGCACTGAAAAATTATCAGACATATATGAATACTACATACAAGATATACAAATTTACATGTGGGTTTACATTATTACTTTTCACCTTTTTAAGTGAAATACTTTTTCATGTTTGAAGGTTTCTGTGAAGGGTCTTGCAGTGTTTATCTGCATGGAATAAAATTTACAATCCCCTTCCTCATAGTCTCAAGTGTTGGGTTCCAAAAGTGCATCCCTATTTGGATGTTCTTTAATGATGTGTGTACTTTTTAAATTTTAAATTATACTTATTTTTTACACTCATTTTTTAAAATTACACATAATTATTAATAATATGTTACACTTACTTTTTCTTCATTGGGGTATATTTACATGTGCCACAGTACTGCTTGGAGGTCAGAGGACAGCTACAGAAAGAAGCAGTTATCTCCTTGTGCAATGTGGATCCGGGTCAGGATTGAAGGTTGGCAGCAGCACTTATACACTGATCCTTGTCAGTAGCTCAGTCTTAGCATCATCACTTTCCTGTGTCCTTCTGCTCAGGCAAAAAATAAAAAAGGTGCTGGGTTTGGGTGTCCTGGGACAACCAAGGTCCAAGCATTGTTTGATTATTTTGGTCTACAGGTTGTTGGTTTGGAGGCGTTCGCCTGCACATGGGTTCAAGTGTGGGCAGACCTTGTAGGCAGTAGTGATGTGGGACTCCCCTCTGTGTACTGTGATTAACATTAATGATTAAGAAACTGCCTTGGCCTTTTGTTACGGCAGAACTTAGGTAGGTGGAGGGACTGGAGTGAATGTTGTGAGATAGAAAGGCAAGGTCATGGGATGCCAAGGATCTGCCACTGGAGAGGACATGCTGGAACTTTGCTGGTAGGCCATGACCTTGTGGTGATATAGATTAATAAAAATAGGTGAAATTAAGAGGTAAGAGTTAGCCAATAAGAAGCTAGAGCTAATGGGACAAGCAGTGATTTGATTAATACAATTTCTGTGTGATTGTTTCAGTTCTGGACGGCCTGGAAGAACAAGAAGCTCCTCCTTCTACAGACCAGTGCATGGTCTTGTCATTGTTTTACTTCTACAGAAACTGGCAAAGGGGTGTCTTTTTTATCACACATGTACAGAACTAGGAACAGGGTGGGAATCTTTCTCGACTTTGATGTTGGTCAGGGTGCAGCCACTCTTTATCTGCTGGCCGCAAATCCCAACCACCAATCATCAGGAGTGATCTTGGTTCTCAGTCTTGACGCTGTTCATGGAGTCACAGGGTTGGACCTCAAGAGTCATAGTCTTGCCTTTCAATGGCTTGCCAACATTCCAGAGACCTCCATCTTGGTGTCTGTTCCACCACCTAGTAGAAAAAGAGAGTTCAATAAACATAGTTTATTTCCCTTCACTTTTAGTGCTAGGAACAGATGGTGGGGCCTCAAGTATTCTACTTCTCCTGAGCCATACTCCACCCTTGAGCCACAGCCACTTTCTCTTGCAATCAATTTCTGATCTTACTCCAAATTTATTTCACATGCTAAATTTTTCTTATGCTTATGTTAATTTTTACTGATAATTACTGATGTTGATTAGAAACAGGCTCTCTCAGTGGAGCCATGGCTGTCCTGGAGCTGGTTATGTAGGATAGGCTGGCCTGAAACTCACAGAAATTCTACTACCTCTGCTTCCCGTTTAGATTAAAGATGTGGGCCACCACAAGTGGCCATGGGTTTAGTTTTTCACTTGTTTTAAAATGTCATATCAGTATGCATTTTGTCTTGGATGAGTCCACATTCTACCCTTCCCCTTCCTCCTTACCCTCTCTTATTGGATGCATCATCACTGACTTGTTTGCTTCTATTCCTTCTGGGTCTTGCTAATTGTTGAAAATCCACATCCCTCTCTTAAACACCCAACTTTCTGTTCTCTTCCTCCCATGCAGTTCAATTTGTGCTTCTCTTAATCTTGGGCATAGTTCCAGGGGCCACACCATTAAAGATAACCGGCCTTCCCTCTCCCAGTAGGCACCAATGCCAATAGCTCTTCATCTGTGGATGGGACTTTGTTCCCATCTCCCATCCACATACTGGATTTGTTGTGCATTGAACTTACATTGGGCTTGTAGATATCCTTACAATCACTCTGAACTAAGATGTTTCATTATTCTTCAGTGTCTAGAAAATTGTTTATTGACATTATCCACCACATCTGAATCTTACAATTTTTCCACATTCTCTTCAGTAATGATTCCATGTCAGGAAGTGTCACATGGGGACAATTCTCTTACTTATCATCACCTCAAAGATTTTGTCCAGGCACACACAAGTCCTGTTTGTCACAAGGAGAATGAGATAAAGGTCATTGAGTATTTCCCCCTTTTTAGTTACAGAGCCTAAAAGACACCCTTAATTTCCTCTTTACATAAATGTTAATATGAATAATTACCATCTTGTAAGTCTGTCTATGTATGTCCTTTGTTAAATCAGAAAAAAATGCTCAGTTCATAGAGTCCTTGTGTGACAATCTTAGATGTCTGGGTTTAATCCCCAGTACTGCATACATTTGATGTTGTGACTCAAGTCTTGGGCTTCAGCATTCAGGAGGTAGAGGTAATAGTTTTGGGATTTTCAGGAAATTTTTATTATGCAATGAGTTTTGGGTCAGCCTGAACTATATCAGGCAATATCTCATAAAAGGAAAGAAAATTTCTTTTGGAGTATGTGGTGAACATGATCAAATATTTTTATGCATGTAATAATCTTCAATAAATAATGAAAATATTTTTACTGTAAATCTCCCACATTAGGTGTATGTACCAAGTATTTCATCTCAGTCATTTCTAAGGGGATGTTTCCATTTCAGCCCCTGCTTCTTTTCACCCATGTGAGTTCTCAGGCCAAGCATGTCATACAGCTATACTGTCTCCTTCCTATTGAATTCTTTGGCAGCTGTTGTTCCTGAATGATCAAGTGATGGATCATGCCAGTTGAACCAGTTGGGGTTTTGCTGAGTTCTGTGAGCTCATTCACACCTCCCTCTCACAGGCCTCATTGACAGTGAGAAGAGGTGCTGCCCTCTGCTGGATGTGTACAGAATTCCTTCAGAGTATTGCAGCTGGCTTGTATACCCAAGTGTTAACCCTTTGGCTTTAATCTACTTTTTGACATAGTTACCTTTTGTGTTCACTAAGCTCTACTTGAAGTGTGTAAATTTTATCTGAGTTCTTCCTGAAAGGTTCAAACCAATGCAAAACAATGCAGAAATCAGAAAATAGAGGCATCTTGGTACAAGAATGCTTTGGCGATTGTCTCTTTTGGGGAGATTCGGATAAGATGTTTTGGTAGGTGGAAGTTAACTTGTTAAAGTGTACACAGTTTAAAAATTTTAAAAAATAAAAATTTTAAAAAATAAAAATAATTTTTTTCTTTTTTGTTTTTTGAGACAAGGTTTCTTTGTAGCTTTGGAGCCTGTCCTAGGCCTAGCTCCTATAGACCAGGCTGGCCTTGAACACACAGATCTGCCTACCTCTGCCTCCTAAGTGCTGGGACGGAGTAAAGGCATGTGCCACCACCGCCCAGCCAAAATGAAAAAACTTTTATGAAACAAAAGCTAGTCAGTTCACCAGAAGCAGATTCCTCTTCCACAGCAAAAGTCAAAATTCATCCTAGTGTGACCCGGGTTTTTCTAAGGAATAGGGGAAAACTGAACAGGACTGACATAGTTGGATGAGCTACATATGATGACCTTGCCTCAGATGACTGACAGACACACATAGCATCTCTTCAGTCCTCTCTACACTGATGGGTTAGATGTAGAATTCTACCAAAAGCATCACATTTGTTGGTGGATATAAATTCCCAAGGATGTAGGATCATGGTTCTTCTCCAACCGTGCCCCCTGGCTTCTATACATAGCATCCCACACGCACTACAATTACTGACCACATTACAATTACTGGACTCTTCTGGGTTAGTTCTTTAAACCTACATTTCCTTCAGAGTTTGACCAGCGGAGGATGGCTCCTGTTGCTTTTCACAAACAACTCATGGCAGCATGTAGAAGAATCTTTGCCTTGAATCTTCTTCAGTGCTGGGCAGACACTAAGAGGCAGGATCTTGAGTAGAGGTTCTGTGTTTGTATGACTCCTGCTTCAACCATACCATATCTAGTATTTTGCTGTTTGTGGCAGTGAGTAATTTTCTATCTTTCCAAGTAGGTGCAGATCTTGGTTATTGACTTTTGATCCAATTCTGTTTCTTCTTCAATTACATATCCAATCATTTATTCCCTGTGAATGAAACATATATATCCATACACTACCACATATGTACACACACATACACAAGTTTGTAGATTTGTATGTTTAATTGAACCTTGAATTCTAGAGTAAGTTCATGCTGATCATGTCTATCATTCCATCCATATGCAAAGATGTGTTCCCACTAATCCTTTGTTCGGGATGTTTAGTCTTTCCCTAGACAGGAAGAGATTTTCCATGCATCTTCATGATTGAATGAGTAGGGTCCTGGCCTCTCCTAAGGAGACCATGAGGCCAGGTTCTGGCTGCCCCAAGCATCAAAGACCAGAATCCCAAGGACTATTAGGACCATAACAGCAAACCCCATCCTGATGAGATTCTCCACTGTGTGATCTTGTTTCTTTGAGGCTGTGTTGTGGACAAAGAAGTTACAGAGTTTAGTGATGGTCAAAATTTCTTCAAGAAAACTAGATGATCCCAAGATACCTAAATGTCCCCAAGATTACTGAATGTCCTACATTTCCTTGACAAAACTTGGTCCCTGTACTCTCAGTCATTTGAGTTTGAATTCTCTTTATTCAACTGTCTTGGGTTTGGGCATGTTCTTGGATGGGCTAATAATTTTCAATGATCGTCAACAGAAGAAGAGTATGATATAGGCATATGATGTGAGGGTTCTTTCTTTATCCTTCTTTCTCATTTAATGTAAATACCCATATCATTCTCATTCTATAAACTAATGAAGTTCTAGAATGTATCTTTTTTCCTTGTCACAGCTGGGTTCCCTGTCTTTTTCTTATTATTTCCTTCAGCAACACTGTGGAACACCAGTGAAAACAAAAAAAAAATCAGAATAGAATAAATTATCCTTACAATACAGACATGGTTCCTGAGTCACTAAACTGAGTCAGAACATCTGTCTCTCAACACCACATTCTGTACCTCAACCTCTAAGTCTTGGGTGTCTATGGTCTCTATTGGAATCTGCTTGCCTCCTTCCCTCACAGGCTGAAGTGACAGAGAAAAGAGGACATCAGTGGAGTAAGAGCAGTGAGGCAGCCTGGGGATGGAGCATACTCCCTGAAGTGACATGCCTGATACTCACCATCTGTTGTCATTGGCCTTGAGGGTGGTCGGGTCGAAGCTCCAATGGTTCCTAGGAAACAGAACAGAGAAGTCGTGTAGAAAGTCCTTCTGTATATGTGTTGCTTTTATTGGTTAATAAATAAGCTGCTTTCCTCCAAGGGCTTAACAGAATATAGGCAGACTGGAAGAGATATATTTAGAGAGAGTAGGCAGAGCAAGAGAGAAGCCACATAGCCTCCACCAGCGACAGATGCCTCGAATGGAGCCTGCCAAAACTTTGACAATATTCCACAACCTCATTGTGATGCATGGATTAAAGGGGGTGGATTAATTTAGGATATAAGAGCTAGCTAAAAATATGTTTAAGTTATTGACCAAAGAGTTTTGCAAATAACAAAATTGCTGTGTTATTATTTTGGATCTAAGTAGCCGGAAACAAGCAAGTGGTCTCCCCCAACATTGTTGTGTGTACCATAGCATCTGTGCTGGCCTCCAGAAGGCTTGCTCACAGAGCCCAGTGTGAAGTGGGCCCTATGGCATAGTGTTGGGTGAAATCAGTTACCCCCATCTTGTTCATAATAAATCTGTCATAACTGATGTCAGAGCAACACTGCAGGGTAAAGCTCTTTCCAGGGTCCAGAATATGGCCTTGGTGAGTCAGCAAGGATGGCTTCATGGATAGGCCTAGAGAGAAGGTGATAGCCTAGTGATTGAGGAGATGGTTGTTACCAAACACTTGTCTCCTCCCATCCTGCCCTGCAAAAGTGACTGCTTAGCCGAGGACTGGGAATCTGGTTCATCAACCAGGTTCTTCCTTTTCACTTTTATTTGCAGCTACACAGTGGAACACTTCCTGGCAAAGGGCCCAGGGTGTCAAATATGGTTGGTCAATGATGGGAGTGACTCACCAGAGATGTGTATTTCCAGGGGGTCACTGGGTACTGACCACAGCAGTGGGGTCTGCTTGTAGTAACCATAACATCTGAATCTTCCTTTGTGGTCTGTTGTTACATGATCTGTAGATAACAAGGCTTGGTACTGGATTTTACTGTGTATATACTGTGAGTCCACAGAGCTGAGGAACTTCTGATCTTCCTTGATGAGAATGAACTTGTCATATCTCTCCTCTGAGATACACTGAAAAGTCATGTTTTCTCCTAAGGTCAACAAATGGCTGGGCAGGGCTGACAGCCTGGGTTTACTGTTGTGGATTCCTAGGACAGAAGACCGCAAACTGAAACATGTGCTCACACAGCCACTGTGTTCTTAAGGGCTAGTCTGTGGGAGGGGAATACTCCTGAGATTAAAGCCTGGGGCTGAGACCCTGTCTGTCCCCTCACCTGTCACCACCAGCTCCAGGGTGTCACTGCGTTCTGACCAGCCAGCTGAACTGTAACAGTAACAGTGATATTGCCCTGCATGTAGACGTGTCACAGAAGGGATGGAGAACTTGGTTTTGTTCTCAGGCTTCTCTGGGGTTTGCATGTCCAAGGGTTTTTGACTTCCCTCTTTATGCACAACATAGATTTCTGCATCCAGGTTCCCCTGACACAAGATGGTCATGAGTATTCCTGAGGCTACAACGGATCCTGGCTCAGCCTTGATGGTGGGTTTGTGGAGGGTCCCTGCAAGGAATTAGGAGAGAAAAAGTTGTTCCTGTCTGGAAGTGGCACAGAGAAAGACCTACTTGCAGATGGCACTTGTTTTCTTTTAAATTTATTCTTATGTCATACAATACATCCTGATAGCAGCCTCCCGATATCTCCTCCCACTACCCAAGAACAGTGCCCTTCTGTTTCTCTTCAGAAAAGAGCAGACTTCCCAGTGATATTAGCCGAATATGGCATAAGAACATACAATAACTAGGCACACACCTTCATATTAAAGCTGACCAAGGCAATCCAGTAGGAGAAAAAAGATGCCGCATGCATGAAAAAAGTCAGACTTCCTCCCTCCAACTTTTACGGTTCTAACAAAAACCCTAAGCTAAGCAGGCAGTAGTGGTGCAGGCCTTTATTTCCAACACTACGAGGTAGACACAGGCCCATCTCCATGAGGTCAAGGCAACCTGGTATACAGAGTAAGGTCCAGGACAGTCAGAACTACACAGCTAACATAAAAATAAAATAAAATAAATAAAAATAAATAAGTAAACGAGTTAAACAACCATAGCATGTGTTCAGAGGGTTTAGATCAGACCAATGCAGGCTCTGAGTTTGTTGCCTCAGTCTCTGTGAGCCCTTATGGCTCCTGCTTAGTTGATTCTGTGGTTCATGTTCTTCTGATGTCCTGAGTACTTCGGCTCCTACAAACCTTCCTCTCTGTCTTCTTTAGGTTTTCCTGAATTCTATTTTATATGATCCAGAATAACAGAAGGCTCCACGAAGATTCTTTTCTGGCCTGTACCTCCTGCTACTCTGCCTTGGACTCTATATCTTTTCTCCACTGTCTCATGTGCTTTGTGCCAATGGGCTCAGGAGCCCTGGCTCCTCACAGACACCACGCACCAAGTCCTCTCTGAACACCTGTATAATTTCAATATCATTAAATGGAAAATCTGGGGTTCCTCACCTGAGACCAGGAGCTCCAGGGGTTCACTAGGTTCTGACCACACCTGTGGGCTGTAACTGTGATAACTGTAGCACATGAATATCCATCTTTGACTAGAGATGACAGGACCTACAGAGAATTGAGCCTGGAACTGTTCAGTAGTTTGATTATACTGTGGGTCTTTAGTAAAGGAATGTTTCTGTGATCCTTTGTTAGTCAGAAGTAACCTGTGATATTGCTGACTTGAGGCACACTGAAGGATGACATTCCCTCCTTCAGTCACCACAGGACTGGGCAAGGCTGACAGGCTGGGTTTACTGTAGACTCCTAGGAAGGAAGGAAGAATCAGTTAAATTTCCTCAAGGGCTCATTATCTTCGATGGCATGAAGGGGGCTTTCCTGTGAATAGACGCACTTCTTGACAGTCAAGTGTGACGCTGGGAACCCCTGTGTGTTTTCTCACCTGTCACCACAAGCTCCAGGGAGTCACTGTACTGGGACTGTCCATCATAGGTCCAATAGCGACAGCGATATCGCCCTGCATGTCGACGGTGTACTTTTGAGATT